AACCAATGATGGTAAGATGATGTCATGGGGTAGGACTGGATAAGTCTGACTTCTTCCTACTCCATTCAAGCATGTACTAGGTATAAGCAAATTGATATTGGATTAGCATTTGTTGGATATGTGTAAAATTATGTGTGTTGACATATCAACTGTCTTTACATGCTTGAAAGAATAAATCAAATCAAATCAAATCAAAGATCCAGTCCATTAATTATGAATGGGCTGAGCCTCCTTCCTGCCGCTGCATAATGAATTGTGGATACAATCAGATTGAACTGAAATCTATGTTTAAATAAGTTTCAACTTATTGTTTTTGGTCTAAAATTAGTTCAAGCCCCGCTGAAGCACATCTTGAGTTTTATCTTTGGAGAGGAGATATAGAATGTGGTTTTTATGTTAATGGGTCCAGTGCTGGAATAAGGCAGATTGTTAAATGTTTCTATTGATGTTTCAATTAACTGCTCGGTCTGTATGGAATAGGGGAATAATGAGCATTATTTAAAGAGGTGTTTCTTACCTGAGAAAAAGACCTGTTTAAGCCACTTAACAACCAAACTGTTCTGGTGATCTCAGGACTCCTTTATGGGTAGTGTGGTTTTATGCCTCTGCACCAGCTGTACCCAATGCAGAGGCATTATGTTTTCAGGTTGTCTGTCTGTCCCATTCCCATGATCATGAAAGCTCAGGAGCCCCTTGAGGGAATTTCTTTAAATTTGTATGCTTGACTTTCTTGTTTGTCATTTTTACAGAAAGGGTCATAAAATTTGTCATAATTGATTATTACCCATCAATTTAATTTTCCATTTTATAATAAAACATATTTAAAGCCGTTTAACTTTCATTCATTTTCACTTCATTTTTCAATAATATATGGAACAAGCTTGCGTGCCGCCGCTTTGCTTTTTTTTTTTTTTTTTTGGCACAGCGGAGGCCACTAAAAACACTGCAGCCATTGCACATTAAAAAGCAAATAGGAACAGTGCAATTTTACCAAATTATACATTTACCATTAAAATATGAACAACCCATTTACAATGAATTAGGCTAACTGAATTGAACTCAGCTGACCTGCTGTAGCCTAGCCTACTGCAGAGGCGACTGTCTCTAGGTTTCTCTTGGTCTTTATTATTTTGATATGAAAGCTGCACCTGCGCTCTGCTGCCATGCTGGAGTCTGGACTTGCCGGCTCACTTCAGCCAAAGTTTTGAAGTCAGGACACATTTTTCTTGAGAAGTGATCAGAAGTTCCTCTGAAAGGGAGATTTCCTGATCCTGAAGTAGTCACTTCACCAGGAGGCATCCGCTGCACCAGAAGAGCAGCTGCACCCCTTTGTGACACAAAGTGGTCACAGATGTGCTGAGTGGCCTGCAGTCCGTTGCTCTTCACCGTGTTGTCAGCTCCCGAATAATATGATTTCCCTCTGTCAAAATGACAGACAGCCTTCAGATTTTTCCATAATTGTTAAAAAACAATTCCGCCAATGACGTAAATATTCGGTTAATATAACCCAATTATTCAACTATTCTCATATTTGTTCTTTGGGCAGGTAAAACAGCAGGAAATCTTAATGCAGTCTGATTCCAGTCATCAAGAGTGAAGAGAGCACCATGGAGATAGCTTTCACATCTCTGAAAATGCTGGACGCATTGCTCAGATAGACTGACCAGATAATCCAAATCTAGCCTAAATGGTTACTCTCTGAAAAAAATATCTGAATTTAATGAAGTAGCATGACATCACTCCTTGAACAAAATATTTGCAGATTAAAAGTTCAATAAAAATTAAGCAAAACATTGTTACAACACAAACAATGCCTCTTTATCTCAGTAAAGTCGACAGACAACGAGCTAGGCCTGTGTGCAGCCAGCTGTGAAGCACTAGTGCAGGAGCTGTCTACAAAGAGCAACACTGAAAATAGATACTTAAAAAAAATATGCAATGTCTTTGCAATATGCATATCTTTGTGGGGAAGGAGAGCTGTCCAATCACATTTGTACAAAGCAGCTTTGGTATTTTTCTGCGTATGCCTGGACCTGCTCTAATGAGGCAGTAAGCACAAATAAGTTTTTAATTTTGAAACCTCGCTGGTTTTGTTTTCTTGGCAAGCAATTGCACTGCTGTAGTTTGTTGCTGTCTACATTTCAAAATTATAGCCAAAGTGTTAGAAAAGGAACAAGATGGAGTTTAAATGGGTCACTTTATTGTCAACAGTATTTATTGGGACATACTACTCTATCTTTAATGGGCTCAGTATGTTTTTAAGTGAACTTTAAGTCTGTTACCCTAGATAATGCCCTTAATGTACTATATTTATACATTTGTGTAGTTGATCAGTTTTTTAGGTAAATCATTTATTTTGTAAGAGAAACAGGCAATGCTATTTTAGAAATCAGAATGTTTTAAAAAGAGGCATGACTTTCTGCCTGTCTCAGTTCTATGCTGCACTTGTTCATTCACATACACTGTTTTGCTTTTCTTTCTTTTTTTCAGGCAGCAGTTGTCAAAAGCAAACTTTGACTCTCCTCCAATATCACCAAAGACCCCAGCTTCAGCTGTCAAATCCAAAACTCCCAGAAAGAGGGGCCAGAAGTGCAACAGCTCTGTTTTGAGTCAGTTTTTCCAAAAGAGACCAAAGACATCTCTCTCTAAAGAAACCCAGCAAGATGGGTCCATCTCTGATTGCGTTGAGCCAGGGAAAACTGCAAATACCCCTGACCTACATTCAGCAGCTGCTCAGCTTCCAGTGTCTGTGAAGGAAGAGCTTATGGATGTAGAGGAGGCATCTATCCAGGGTTTGATGTCAGTCAAACAGGAGGGCACATTCTCTCACAGTTTCAGCGCTGGTGTTGAGCAGGCCCATTCCTCGTCACCATCAGTAGATACAAATCTCTTAATCAAAGGTGAAACTTTTCTACCTGTAGGTTAAGAATACAGCTTCCTTTGTCAGATTGATTCTGAATTGCTCACCCTAACTTGAAGCTGGACTAACAGCAGTAGCTATTTAGAACTGCAGGTGCAGGCCTGTAGGTTTTACCATCTGCAGGCATAAAAGTATAAGCTGCTACTTCCTTAACTGTGACCCCCCCTAATTAACATAATATGGTCACATCTCCATTGGTTATGAAATGCTTAAAAACATCACCTTGTGGCTGGTTTAAAAAACTGTTTCTCATTAGGTGCAGCTAGGAAAATGGTTTAGTTTAGATATGAAATGTATTTTGACTCCTCACCAAAAACTGATTGATCTTTCTTTAATATACTGCTAGTAATATCCTTTTATGTATCTTCTTGCAGTGGAGTGCCCTGTGTGTTCTGTTAGTGTGTCGCAGCAGTTTATCAACAAACATCTGGACACGTGTCTTGCCAGTGGAGAGAAGAAAGAAAGCCTAAGGAGGTACCCAGTTAACTGATCACTGTTGTTGACCTGTTTTTCAGGATGAAAATATAACTACATAAAAAGTAACACTTGATAATGAGAACTATGACGAAATGTTTTACATTTTTCGTCAGTGAATAAAAAGTAAATTATGTGAAAGAGGGACGAATGGACTTGAAGTAACTTAAAGTGCCCATGGCTTTTTTTTTTTTAAATATATGCTTTATTGAAAACATACATAACAAACAAGGCAATGTAACTTAAAACTAGAGTTTGTGAGACGTGACTTCTGCATGGAAATACTAGGACATGTGTACACCTCATTTTTTGAGTATTAGGTCACGTCTAAGATGACAATTCACCGTTGTAACATTGTAGATAAGTCAGAAAACAAGGAAAAGCATGCCATGTGCTCTTTAACAACCTGCAGCATCTGTGGAATCGCAAACTGTAGGTGCTGATCAATAAAACAGTTTCCTCCGCCAGCCAAAATATCTCTTGCTCAAGAGTTAAATTAGCCGCTTGATGTGTTTCCCTGCCATCTTACAATCAACTTCTGCAGAGCAGAGGGACACTATGTGAATAAAACACCGTTTTCCACAAACCTCACAATAGACGGGAACAGCACTTGTAATCATGGTAATTATGCACAACCAGGATGAAGAAGATGTGTCCCGCAGTAAATATTAAGAATGCACTTTAAAATAACAAAACCTTTGCCTTGAAAACTGCATCAGTTTTTCTCTATAGACTTGCAAGTTTTTCAAGATGCTGGCAGGTACGGCAGTGGCATTGTGTTCTGGCTCTTCTAATCTCAGGCTGGGCTCTGTGGTGGCCAAAGCATCTGATTCACTGTTCTTCTCATTGTTGAAGATAGTATTTAAATCTGTAATTACACAGTTGGAATTATTACTAGATTTATGCTATTGCCATTGACCTTGCTGCATATCTCGCTGCTGTGTTTAAGAGAGTAAATGTGTGTGGCCTTTGAAACCTGATGTTGACTAATGACTCATGCACTAATTATGAGTTCTGTTATGAATGAACATATGTTTGTAATAATGCAAATGAGCTTATCTGGAATATGCCCTGATGTCACAATGATGAATGGCAGAGGTTTTAATATTCTGGGCCTCTGTAGCTAGCCTGCATGAAAGAATCCCTCTTGCTGCCAGTCTTAATAACTAACACTTGTGTCTTATATTCAAGACAAAATATACAATACAGCTGAAAAAACATATTTGACTGGCGCCTATGTTTGTAACACGGCTACTGATTATCATACTAGGATAACAAATGGCAGATCACATATGTTAATGTTAATTTGCTATGATCACAGCTGATGTGGCTTCATTAAGCTGACATTATTCTTTTATGCTTATGTTCTCTAAAGTCATTGAAGTGTATTACTGCTGAGTATTACTGCTCTGTTAGACATTACCAAGTAGTAACTGTTCATCACTGAAGTCAGCCTGTCTGTTGCAGCTCCATTAGCAATACGAGGCGTCCAGTGGCCAAGCTGGTCTACAACCTGCTTTCCACACAGGAGCTGAAAAGGAGGCTGAAGGAATGCCATCTCTCAATGCAGGGTTCTCGAGACCAGATGATTAAAAGACACCAGGAGTTTGTCCACATATACAATGCCCAGTGTGATTCCCTAAACCCAAAATCAGGTGAGGATATTTGGTGTATAATACCATAAAGGTAAAACTGTATTTGACTAAAATATTTTGTTTGCAGTCATGTATTAATGGGATAACTAATGATACGTGTGCACTGCTGGTTTTTATCTTAATGAAGTGTATATATCACTAGAGCGAATTAATCAAATTTGATTTTAAAATTCCACCAAACTGCTGTTATAGCAAAGTGTTGTAGTACGTATATGTAAAATCTGGAAACATGCTGATATACCCACTACAATGTTCGCTTTCCTTCTTTTCATTATGCAGTTGTGGAGTGATGTTTTGCACCATCAACTAAAAACTTCACTCAAAGTAATATGCTTAGTAAAAAAAACAATAAATACACTGATCAGCCATAACATGAAACCCACTTGAAAGTGAAGTGAATAACACTGCTTGTGTCATTACAACTAGTGTATTAAGAAGGAGAGTAGCGACATCTCCATTGTTTCTATAAAAGGATCATTTTTTACAGTAATGGTGGATCATTGGAACGTCAAATAGTTCCAAACATTAGCAGCAGCGCCACAGAGTTACTGCTGCTAATGGCTGCTATCTTCCAAAGAAGCTGAAATCAGTTTTGACCGTCTCTCTCAAATATTGGTTAAGTTCAATAAATAGGTCCTGAGCTATCTACAACAACAGAACGCTGAATTAGTTTGCAAGACTGTACAAGTCATTAAAAATAGAAATTACTGATAAATCGGGAACACACAGTGTATCACTTCTCACTGTGTGTGGGGCTGCGCAGCCACAGAATGGCCAGAGTGGCCATACTGACCCGTCTGCTGCCAAAAATGCCTGCAAAAGGTACGTGAGCGTCAGAACTGGACTATGGAGCAATAGAAGAAGGCGGCTTGGTCTAATGAATGCCTTTTTTTTTCCCCACAAGAAAATGAACTCTGGGAAACAAATGAATGTATTGACCAGTCAAAAAGCTTAACAGTCTACTTTGGATTGTGATCACAGGCTGTCATTAGAGCTCAAAGGTGGAACAGAAAATCACAATCTTCAAGCAGGGTCTCCTGCAGCTTTCCAAACCATAAGCAATCTGCCTCATCTGAAATAAAGGCCACCTGTGCCAACATCAGAAGACATATATACTGTTTTTATGAAATCGTAAATCTACAAGGAAAAAGAACAGACTTTCCAGAAATGTCAATCACTGTCCTTATCTCATGAGTATGTATATATATATGTGAGGGCAATACAAGATTTAGCACCAGTCAAATACAAGGCAGTTCACAAAGAACTACATAAGGTAAAGAATAATTAAAAAAGAAAAAAAGAATCAAATGCAAGAAGATGAAATAGAACTAAATAAATGGAAAAGGGCCAAAGACAAATGAATGAAGGTTTTTTTTGTGTAGTTTCCAAAGCTGTAATAGGTAGAGTTAGTGCATGCATCAGCAGACTTGTATTCACACTGGTGGATTTTATAAGTGTGATGATTTAGGGTGTTTAGTCTTGGCTGTGTTTCTGTTTGAAATATTTCTCTTTCAGTGTAGTTCACAGAAAATGTCTTGCATATTGAGGTATTCTTCACAAAGAGTTCAGGTTGTTGCCAAGGCCTCCAAATTCCCCAGACATCAATCCAACTGAGCATGTATGGGTTGTGCTGGGCAAAAAAGAGCAATCCATGGATCTCTTACCTCACAACTTACAGGACTTAAACGATCTGCTGCTCACATCCTGGTGTTACATAACCTTCACAGGTCTTGTTGAGTCTTCGCCTCCGATGGGTCAGCACTGCTTTGGCAGCAGGAGGGGGGACCTACACAACATTAGGCAGGCGGTTTTAATGTTGTGGCTGATCAGTATATGAGTGGGGAAAAAATGTGTGCACAAAGCTTAAGATAAACAATAAACCACAAAATCAGATTTAATCAATGTACAGTGCCTTCTATAATGTTTGGGACAAAGACTCCACAAACATTACCCCTGAAATCAATGGATGAGTCCCAGAGGACAAATGGAGGGCACTGGTGATCTCATAGCAATAAAAATCCAGCTCGGAATTAAATTTGAGGACAAATGTATTCACGTTCACATAATGTTGTTTCCAAAGACAACATACTATATGAATATAAATAGTAAGGCGTTTGTGATTTTACAGTGTTTTACTTTTTACCGTAGCTTCCTAGTTTATGGAAATGTAGCCCTGTTCTTTTTTTGTTTTCATTATTATCACTTTTATTTCTTGGATCAGTGTTCTTTTTAATTATTAATGTGTTGTACATTTTTAACTATGAGGTGAAGTGGAAGACTAATTTCCATGAAATGGACAATATAGTTTTTAACCTAACCTTTTTTCCTTCTTTACTGGCACTCCAGAATGCCTCAATTTTGAACAATGACCTCACGGGTCAAAACTTTTGTGTTCAATAGCACAATTCATATAATGGGCAATATCTGTGATCTCAGAAGTAATAAAGACTTTTCTTTCCTCCTGCACCAGCTGAAGATATTGCCAGAGAGGTGGAGGCCAACGAGAAGATCAAGAATCAGCTGCAGGGGAAAGCCAAACCTGTACGTTGTAACTGATTGTAAAATAACAAATATAATAATAATAAATACACATTTCATAGACTAGCTTTAAGAACTTCTCAATTACAGTAACTGCTTTATTGCTGGTCAATCTTTTTTCCATTCAAACCTCTTGCAGGTCATGGTTTTCTCGAAGAATCAATCTGAGAAAGAGATTGAGGAGATACATTCAAATTATAGTAAGCCACATTCCGCCTTCAGTGCACTCTGTTCTGCCACCATATGGTTCTGACTCTTTATATCAGCACCAACATAGACCAACTGATGAGACTTATTTGCATACATTTACATCTTCTGTTTAAAGATGAATTTTGACTGATGGCCAATATGCATATACAGTCTGCACCTGCACCAGAGGAATCAAAAATTCTTTATTTCCAGGGGGAAAAAGAGCTTGATGCTTGATGCAGAAAGATAAACAGAACAAAACAGCCAGCAAATTGCAGTGTAAAATCACATCATCTTTGGCATATGTACGAAATGACACAACATGTCAGTTAAATACACCATATATTCCCAGAGCGGTAAATTGAAATAAAAAGCCACTCTTTGCTTTTTTATATATATATATACTTTGTTGCTTTTATGTAACTTTTTTATTGTAAGACTAAGTGTTCTTTCTGGCTTTTGCCTCTATACCTGACTCCAAAGGAGCGCTGCACAAGAATTCCTATATGCCTAGATTGTCTGTTTATGCATACATGGCAAATAAAAATCTTGACTTGACTTGACTGTCATCAGGTCTAATATGTACTCCCCCTTCATGGCCAGGGTACTGTTAAATAATGGGTCATTGCTTTTGGATGAATTCAGCTTAAATCCATGAGGTCATTTATGTTTTACGATGGTTACCTTTATTTGATTAAAAGCTTATATCTTGTAGATATATTTACCTCATCACTGAGTAGATAGATAGATAGATCACTTTTTTAATCCCAAAGGGAAATTTGTTATAGCAGCTATTTCATCTACAGTATGTCAAAAAAGTAATTTAAATAGATATAATAAATAAATAAATAACAGTACTCTCAGTCCCGGTGCTGTTCATGAAGTGAATCTAGGACATTATTCCTGTACAGATTTATTGTAAGGTCTAATTGCACCCGTCAGGAAAGGCCTTCTGTAACGCTCCTTTGTTCAGTCTGTTGCTGAAGGAGCTCCTGTGGTCAGTTGATACCATTGTAATCAATTAAGTATGCAGTGTATTAGGAATTTATCTTAGTAATTGCTCCCACATCTGTTTATGCATACATGGCAAATAAAAATCTTGACTTGACTTGACTGTCATCAGGTCTAATATGTACTCCCCCTTCATGGCCAGGGTACTGTTAAATAATGGGTCATTGCTTTTGGATGAATTCAGCTTAAATCCATGAGGTCATTTATGTTTTACGATGGTTACCTTTATTTGATTAAAAGCTTATATCTTGTAGATATATTTACCTCATCACTGAGTAGATAGATAGATAGATCACTTTTTTAATCCCAAAGGGAAATTTGTTATAGCAGCTATTTCATCTACAGTATGTCAAAAAAGTAATTTAAATAGATATAATAAATAAATAAATAACAGTACTCTCAGTCCCGGTGCTGTTCATGAAGTGAATCTAGGACATTATTCCTGTACAGATTTATTGTAAGGTCTAATTGCACCCGTCAGGAAAGGCCTTCTGTAACGCTCCTTTGTTCAGTCTGTTGCTGAAGGAGCTCCTGTGGTCAGTTGATACCATTGTAATCAATTAAGTATGCAGTGTATTAGGAATTTATCTTAGTAATTGCTCCCACATTGGGGAGGCGACAGTGGTACGGTGGGTAGAGCAGTCGTCTCCCAACCAGAAGGTTGAAGGTTCGAATCGCGGTACCGGCAGGCCACGTGTCGAAGTGTCCGGGGGCAAGACACTGAGCCCCTGATGGTTGGAGCCACTGAGTTGGCGCTGTAGATGGCTGCCATCGGTTCTGTACCTGAAACAAATTCCTTGTGTGTAACATACTTGACCAGGTGATTATCCTTATAAAAAGGACAACAGACATAGGGACAATTCCGTCCACCAGTTTAAAACTAATTTTAGTGTGGTTGAAAAGTGGCTGAAAAATGGATGTGACTCACAGGGGGAAGGTTCTATAAGTAGTTCCACTGCTGTGATAACCTCTTTATCAGACGAGGATGTGGATGACTCATTCTGCAGCCAGGGGAATGGTGAATGAACAGACAGCAAGGTTAATGCAGCACATACCAAATCCTCCAGGAGCTTGCTGCCTTTTCTGAACACAGCCACATGTTCTTTTAGTGCTGATACAATCAGTTGCTGGCTGTTCAGAAAATGTTCTCATAACCAAGAATAACTGCAAGATTATGTGAAATGTACAAAAAACCCTTCAAACTATGTAGTACATAATTTCAAAGCACACTGAACTGCAGCGGCTGAACAATGGTAATATTTTGATCACACCGAAGAACTAATGTGAATTGCAGTGTTTGAGCAGATGTTTCTCTCTGTCCCTCAGTTCTCTCTAAATTCCCCAGCCTTTCTTTATATGAACATCACAGACTTGCAGATGCTCTGAATTTCTGTGGAAATTGATTAAACCCTGTATTTACTTTCTGATCACCACCAAAAGATAACGGTAATTTTCTTGTACTAAAATGTCTTCTCTTAGGTTTAGCTTTATTCTCTGAATTCTGACTTTAATCTTTGACTGACTCTTGAGGAAAAAAAAAGTCAGAATTCAGATATAGTTTGTACAATGGCCCTAAACCTCTTCCATACTTTGGCCTCCTCCACAGGAGTAAAAGAATATTTTTGGTTCAGTCTCATCTTTGAGCTCAAATGTGTGGTACTTACCTTCAAATACAGATGCTTATGAATAAAACCTAACATTTTTCTCAAATCTGTTCAACCTTGCAAGGTTGGAACTTATCATTTCCATGTCAAATATTAATCTGATTGGCCTTATGTGTTGCTGATATTGTTGTCTTATAAAGAAAAATGAATCTACATTCACTCAATGTTAATACATGATTTCCCAAGCATCACACCGTGGCCTGTGTGTGGTGTGGATTCCTTCTTTCTTTAAAAAGCATCCAGTCAGCTTTACATTATTAGCAGCTATGTAACCCTAACTTTAAACGATAAGATGTAGTTTTACATTAAGTATTATGGTTGTTGACTAGTAGTGCATGCCTTACATAATATTGCAATACTGATATGGCATCGAGGCCATTAAAACTTTGCACCATATATGCTGTTTTGCTCATAGGGAAGCAGCACAGCAGCGACTTTTCTCGCCTGATTGCACAGGTCCGGGGTCGTCTAGAGACTGCTAAGCAGACTCGTATCAAACAGGAAGTTATTGAGGAAGGAGAGGATGCACAAACACTTCAGTCTGCAGGTATTTCAGTGCTCATTAAATAAAGAATAAAATAAAGTGTATTCACAGGAGACTTTTGAGCCTTTCTGCTACCCTTCAGCAAAAGTCAGCTGATCCTAGGAATAACCTGCTGTGTCAGGTTCATCTTGTCTTCACAAAACAGTTTCTGTACTAAAACTATTACAAATAAATGATGTTGTGCAGTTTGACAGAGTAACTGACTCCCTGCAGCTGCTTTATGTGGCGAAGTGTGTGCATTAACTGCCCTCAGTTTATTTTTCTTTACTTTCAAATCAACAAGGCTAAGCACTTGTTAGTGAAGGGTGATGGATAAAATTGTCATTAACTGTAATTACTAAAACTATTACAAATAAATGATGTTGTGCAGTTTGACAGAGTAACTGACTCCCTGCAGCTGCTTTATGTGGAGAAGTGTGTCTTTCAAAAGACTGACATTTTTTGTTTTCATTATAATTAGTAATTTTCTCATCAAAAAAATGTAAGACTTATTCTAACTAAACAAAGAAATGAATGGTGTTGCATGTTGCCAAATTGTATGCAATGTACAAATGAAATGGCACAGAAAACCTGCATGACACTGTCCACCGTGTCAGAGGTTAAGTATGTGATTGTACCCACCGGACCTGAAATCTGCTTTCATATTGGGAATATGAATTCACTGGTTGATTCCCACTGGATGTTTGACATGGCATTACATGTTTTTGCCTTCTACAGATCAAGCTGCAGAATCAGAGAACTGCTTAGTGATGAAGGTAGAAGACGGAGACGAGGAGCCATCTGCGAGAGGGGTCTCATTGTCACCCAGCACCTCTTATAGTGACGTGTCTATCAGCAGGTGGGTTGTACATAACGCACATCCTGATTCACTTACATTAGGTGGGACCCTCAAAGGTTGGTCCTTTGTAATGTAGCAAACACGTGAGACCCTAGTTTTTGCCTTTTGTTTAATACACTTTAGACAATGCGTACCACGCAAAAGTTTGGATGCACTTTCTCATTTAATTCATTGGGAACGTGTGTCCAAATGTTTCACTGGCAGTGTTAAGTGATTTCAGAGTCATTATGCTCAAAGATTGCTTTGAGTTTTGAACATTTCTGTTGAAAAAACATTGTGCTTCTCCTCCAGTAACTGCTACAGTTCCTAAATTTATTGATGATCTTTGTTCCTGTTTTGTGGCATACACAGGACAGCATTGTAATAATCTGATTAAGTCAATACTTAATTAGCATTTCCATCACGGTAATGTCAATTATTATGGTAACCCAATCTGAAGTAATCGCATTCAGAAAGGAAACACGTTGGAATAAAGGAGACAGCATGGTTTTCCCTGACAACGACCTCTGAATGCTGTCCATATTCAGTGATTACTTCGAACATGTAACACTTCCTCTAATTAGTTGTTTTACTTGTGATAAAGAAGTATCAGCTGTTCTATACAGTGGAGTATTTAAAAAAAACAGATCATAAACTGCAAATATGTAATTTTGCACTATGGTAATTACACAGTCACAACACATGCACATGGATGAAATGTTGGATCATAAGAGGTTCCTTATAATTCATGTCCCAATGTTCTGTCCATCCCTCAGTAGCTGGTAACAAGCACAGCATCTTTCCACTTAGCTTAAAAAAAAAAAAGGAAAAGTGGGTGAATCATGCACACTATAATAAAGAGGATTTCTGTTTGAACCTTGAAGAGACTCGGGAGAAGTTTATCACCTGCTTTCACACCACACAGGCCTTGGACATTCTTATTCAGCCTTTATATTCTCCTCTTACAGCCACTTTGCTTTTGTTGTACTGTGACACTGCAGGGAAATACACTCTCCCTGCAGCTTCATTTAATGTTTTGGGTGGATTATTTTCTCAAAACCCTAAGGTTTTTTGTTGCATATTTCTAATTCAATAGAAATACAAAAGGAATGTATTCGACTTAAAGACTGTGGATTGATGATCCTGGGTGTAAATTAGAACGCACCGGTTAACATTAGTCGTCATTTGTCTTCTTGAAATGATCCATTCAGAAAGCCCAGATCTACTAACAGGTTTTAAACAAGCCATTTACTATTTTATGTTCTTTTTATTTTTCCCCAATCAAGTATGAAGCCCATTTCTGTGAAATCTCACAGGTGTGCAGCCTGAGCACAGTCAGAGCTTGAGTATAATTGCAAACAGCAGAGATTACTTTCCATCTCTAAATCAAGCCTAGCAGTCAGACTTTACATCAGTGGCTCTGGAACCAGGCGAGCTCCTCTGCTGCATCATTAAAACTGAATTTGATAGCCTCTTATCTGCGTTGTCAACAGAGTGTTCTAGCAATCAGACAAACCTTCTGTTCTAGTTGTTCCAAAATCTCTGTTCAACATCTATATAACAGATGGTGATTTGTATGTGCACTTTATACTCTATTAGTATATCCATGCAACTTGTTTTGAGTCCATATTTTGGGAATGAAATGCAGAACACTTTTACAGGTAGCTATTAAATGGACTGTTACACTTTCCCAAACAGATTAGGAGACTTTCCGTCCTTTTTCTTATATGCACTTTAAGTTGGTTAAGTCAAATTAAGTCTCTTCAAGTATCACCATTTAATTAGGGGAGTATTTGCCCTCGGCACACTGCAACTGTGTCAGTGAAGCTCTCTTTACTGTAGCAGCTGGTTGTTACCACAACAAATGCAAGTTAAAGCTAAAACACTTGTTTGTAATGACAATTACATTGATTCTTGCAACACTTTAAGTCCTCCTATTTGGCATTTATAACCAGTACAGTATATAATATTTAGTAAATGCTTTATAACACATTGTAGTGCAAGTTATAAGCAGAGGTGTTTGTTAACTTAAGTTAAAGTGCATAGGTGGAAGGTTGTATATAAATGCATAATAAAGATAATATAGTAAAATACTGTTGAAATAATATAGAATGGTTTTAAAATTTCCTGTGCAACAGGTTGCTGATGGTGTTTCTCACCTGGGTGAGAGATTCATCAGATGCTTTCAATGTACTTTACCAGTAATCAAATCAGAACTAAATAAAGTTAGTTTCAGTTTATGGCAGAGATGTGGTGGAAAAACACCAGGCACAATCAAAGCTTTGGGAGCATTTCATGCCAAAAGTAGCTGTGTTATAGTGCTAGTTGCTCAGCCACACTGAACACTTTATAATATTGTTTTGCTACATGGAGATAATACTGTAGTTGTTTAATGGAACCTTCATACTTTTTTTTGTCAAGATCTGCAGAAATGCAGTTTGGTTCCCATATATGCAGCAAAACATCTGTTGTCTGTTGAAGTGGCCTATGTCTGTTCCAAATGAGGAATCCTAATGTCTGATAAGGCAACCGTATTGAACTACAGCAACTCTCCAGGGAAAAGCCCCATCTTTAGCAGTTCTGCGACCTTTTGATTGTGTTTTATTTTATTTGTGTCATTTATTTTCATCATTGTAGACCGCCACTAATCGTTTTAACATCAAGTGTATAACCAACACCTGAATGCCACATGTCCATCTGTGTTTTCTCACAGTAGTCTGAAATGTGTGAGAATAAATATGAAGTGGGAACAGAACAATGTCTGGTATATCACAGACTCATGATTCCGCAGCCTGTCCTGCTGCCAATAATGGTTTCATCATTTCAGTGTGTTTTTCAGATATTTATATAGATAACACTGAATCTTGTCTTGTTAATTTGTACTTCACTGCTGATAAATAGCTGGATCTGATGATCCTCTCTTCTGCCTGGACCTTCTCTGTTCAGAGATTATGACAGCTAGCTTTGTGGCACAGGGTCAAACCTCAAAAATGTGTTTTTAAATCGCTGAGAATGTCTTGTTAACCTACATGCTGAATATTACATTTGTTTGATAGTTGGTGGATCAAAGGTGGTGCTTTTTACCACATATCTTGTTTCTGTGTTTCTTGGTAATGCACATAAGACCTTAATTTCCATCTTCTTTTACTTGTCAGGTCCACATGAGCGACTCAAGCAGCTCTAAGATGTCACACAAAAACAAACACGATTATGGTTGCTAGATGACAATAGCTTGACATCTTGCTTTACAGAAGAATCAATCCTTAAGCTGTTATATTTCTGCCACAAGAGTTTGATCAACCTGAATAGTCTTGTTGAGCTAGTAGAGAAAAAACAGCTGAAGAGCCTTGTCATGTTCAAGTACCAACAGAATAGTTATTTTGTTATTTGTAATGTGGAGCGTCAAAAGCATGTGAGAGATGAGACCAGAACGGGGCAACATACAGTAGTAATGCCAGCAGGCTGTTCACCCACTGCTTGAGATTATGGAAGATTAGTTTCCTGTCAGTAGCAAAACAAAAGTAGTATTGCTACTAATTCACAAAACTCACAGAATCTAAACAATAGAATTGCTTCGCATAGTAAAATAATCATCTTTATTTTGCACAGTTTTTATATTGAGTTCTCACTGAATTGTGTTTTGTCACTTTCCATCATTTTGCAATTTTTGAAAAAGCTTTCAAAATACTGCATTCAACAAAATTTCACACAGCATTTAGGCTGCCAGGCTTTAGAGGTAATTTAACATCCTTAACTCCCAAATCTCACTGACTGACAGCATGAGAGGAAGAAATTGGGGCTGTACTTTCAATATCAGTAGTCTGATTTGTTTGAAGTATTGGCCTGAGATAACATCACACAACTGCTACATCTAGCTTAAAGTCAGGCAAAGAAAAGAGGGTCTGTTTTGGCATTTGATAGTGTGGAAAATCACATCTAGATTTTTGCCTCTTGTGAAGGAACATCCTGGGCCATGACATTTTATTTGCGTTTTGTTGATCTTCTTCAGAGTCAGACTAAGCATTAGTGTGACTCTGGTGAAGACACAGTAGGCATTGGCACTGACTGTTGGGTCTACAGGATGTGTGATGCAGTGAAAAACACCTGCTTACGGGTGTAAAATAATCAGTGTTATTCACAGGTTGCAGAGCATTACAATCTATTTAGAGGCAGCTAATTTTCAAGGCACTTAATGAGGTACAAGCTGGTGCAGTACATTTGTGTCCTGAAACAGAACAAGTGTATCATTTAATCTTTGTGAATGACATGTTCTCCCTTTCTTGCTTCTCCCCTTACAGTTCTATTTCTGACATCTTTAGTCCAGAGCCTGCCAGAAATCTTGAGTAAGCATTCATCTTTCTGCTGTCAATGCTACTGTGTAGAAAAGTAATGTCCTTTTGTCTTTTTTGACTGTGCTAGCTATTATACATGTTTAGTACAGGACTGCAGTGTTTCCCCTACCATTCATTTGGCAAGCCACCCCACTGTCCTGCACCCTGACTGCTATTCTCTTGTGTCCCTACCGAGGGCGTGGCTTATCCATGCTTACAGCTAAGACAAGGATCAGGTTTGATTGACAGTAACTGGAGCTGGAGCCGTGCATTCAGTGCAACATCAAAGGCTCTGACTGAAAGCCAACATGAATGAGCATCGAGCACAGAAGGAAAACCAGGCCAGAATAACAGCTTTTTTCAGTTGCTTATCAACATTCAGTGCCGTCACCAAACCTACTGCTACTGAACCTGAGCCTGGAAGCAATGGCCAGGATGTTTCTAGCTCCTCCGCTGCTTTGAGAAGGGAAGCTAGCCCTGCCCCTGCCACCAGCAACCACAGGAAGGCTCAAAAATGGACAAATGTCAACAGCTTTCTGCAGCTCCTCCCCCCCCCCCCCAGCAGGTCCACCCTCCCTGACCAGTTAACCTAGGGGAAACACTGGGACTGTCATCATAATCTGTTTGCCTACAGTCACTATGCCGTTACAGGTAATTGCAGGGTTGTGTTGATGTACAGGTTGACTGGATGTCAACTTGCTCTCCATCGCACACTGGATATCAGTTACATACTACCAAACTTAACAAATATTTTTGTGCCTCTTGATACATCAAGGCCCAAATCTTCTGTTCCAAAATGTAAGCTATTAGACTAATAACTGTCATTATTTGTTTCTTTAGCCATACTAAACCAAAACAAAAAATGTATTGACCTGAAGGCCCTGCTATGTTCAGCACAGTCCAAAAGTGTGTGTTTGTGAGCCTCTGCTCAGAAAATAGGCGTACATTATGCTCTATGCACTCTTGGGAAAATAGGACTCTATATTTGTTCTGCTCAGTGGATGGAATTACCATTTCTGGAGCTATTACTGCAGCTCACAGATGGATTATTATGAACTCTATACCCTCATTACAGTATACTCTATCTGCTTGTGTGTTTTACCTGTGACTTGTCTTCTCAGGTGAAATAGATGTTTTGGTTAAATTTGAAAAATAAATAGATATGTGATTAATTTAATTTAACTGCATATGGTGGTGTTTCCAAAATCTGGAAAAATAATGACTTGACATTTTTCTTTCATCATTGCTTTTAACCAAGACTTAATTGTCTTAATGGACACTTAAGTGTGGCCCATAAGTCACAAAAGAGGGTTTTCCATTTTAGGAACCTACTGAACCATGTCACGTCGATTAGCACTTGTCACAGGTCCTGCATTTGTTCCTACTACAGTGTGGCCGCTTGGGAGGTGCGTTTCATCAATCCCCAGGGGGTAGTACAAAACTCTAGTACCAGGAATATGAGGGGAGAGGGGGTGAGTTTGCACAGAGCAGTCGCCAATGATTGGTTAAATGTCAAACCTCAAGCATTAGCATTACAAGCACCGTGTGTGAGAGGGGAGCAGCCCCTCCCTCCTCTAAACAGAGACCGCCACAGAGAAAATACAGTGGAAAAACAAGGCAGGACGGTCTGGTATGCTTGGTGATGTTTAAGGGAAGTACGCTTAGGGGTATATCGCTCATTATGTTCTGATAATGGAAACACAGCAGAAGAGCATCTAAGTACTTTGTGTCCTTAAGTTAGCTAACATAGGTACTTACTTATCACTGAGAGCTTGAGGTTGGACAGGTTGCCCCTGGTGTCAGCTGTGACTGTGTAATGTAATGGCTTTGTTTTTTCTTGAAAATGTCTAGAAAATTCAGTTGTTATCGACGTTGGTGAGTTAAAATTTGTTGGCAAATAGTGGACAGTTATTCTTAGTGTGCCCGAGTTCCTGATGATTATTTTGACAACTGAACATTCCTGGAAAGATGATTTGATGCATTTAAACTGTTTGTCAGAACCTATCTTGTGTCAGAAATGAATCTAATTGTCCAGCGTTAGTAGTGGTCACATTTGAAACCAGTTACAGCTGAGTATTCAGACATGATATAGTCTCTGTTTACAAGACTGCTTTCTATATACATCAATTTTGTGTTATCTTTTTCTTTTCTCAGTCATTTTATTACCGCTGTCATGTCTATCAGAAGATTTTGACAATGCAGTAAGACACCCATACACAGCTTCTTTCTCCAGAGGACTCGCATAAACAACTGCTCTGACCCAGAGCTCATTTACTTGTGAACCACAGAAAAGGGATTTTTTTTTTGCTTTGAGTACACGGCAATGCAGCATCCCTCAGTTTCATTTTGACAGAAACATGTTGCAAGTTGAACAGTACATATGCGTTTGGTATAGTGAAGTTTCACATATAGAAAACGCTACTGTCTGTCTGGTTAAATCCAAACCTGTCAGTGTTCATGCCTAATGTTTTCCCACAGCACTTTGTAGTCATAGTACACCAACATGGTCGGACCTAGGAATGTCTTATCAATGCAGTGAGTGAAAGGAAATCTTCCATCAGACAGGGCTTTATCTCCTTCCTCCAGCCTTTGTCGGACTATTTAAATGGTGTTTCTTTTAGTTCTGATCCACACTTTGCAAAGATGCCAGCTGCCTGATGGACAGATGTCCTACTATACTTGGACATCTGTCCGTCTTTGTACTACCCACATTTGAACCTCTGACACAGATTCCAGTACTAGAGGTTTGTTGATCCAGTCCAAATGGTCAAGATAAGAGACATGACCTTGTCACCAACTTAATGGCGATATACAGTACATCTGTAGTATAATCTGCTAATGAGAGCCCTTGATGTGAAGTTGTAACAGGGTTCATATGAGGCATGCTGTAGTTTCTGGGATCCCTTGTGGTACAGTGCCTTGCGAAAGTATTCGGCCCCCTTGAACTTTGCGACCTTTTGCCACATCTCAGGCTTCAAACATAAAGATATAAAACTGTAATTTTTTGTGAAGAATCAACAACAAGTGGGACACAATCATGAAGTGGAACAAAATTTATTGGATATTTCAAACTTTTTTAACAAATAAAAAACTGAAAAATTGGGCGTGCAAAATTATTCAGCCCCTTTACTTTCAGTGCAGCAAACGCTCTCCAGAAGTTCAGTGAGGATCTCTGAATGATCCAATGTTGACCTAAATGACAAAGGATGATAAATAGAATCCACCTGTGTGTAATCAAGTCTCCATATAAATGCACCTGCACTGTGATAGTCTCAGAGGTCCGTTTAAAGCGCAGAGAGCATCATGAAGAACAAGGAACACACCAGGCAGGTCCAAGATACTGTTGTGGAGAAGTTTAAAGCCAGATTTGGATACAAAAAGATTTCCCAAGCTTAAAACATCCCAAGGAGCACTGTGCAAGCGATAATATTGAAATGGAAGGAGTATCAGACCACTGCAAATCTACCAAGACCTGGCCGTCCCTCTAAACTTTCAGCGCATACAAGGAGAAGACTGATCAGAGATGCAGCCAAGAGGCCCATGATCACTCTGGATGAACTGCAGAGATCTACAGCTGAAGTGGGAGACTCTGTCCATAGGACAACAATCAGTCGTATACTGCACAAATCTGGCCTTTATGGAAGAGTGGCAAGAAGAAAGCCATTTCTTAAAGATAGCCATAAAAAGTGTCGTTTAAAGTTTGCCACAAGCCACCTGGGAGACGGACAGGGAAGATGGTTCAAATTGATGGGAAGATGGATGGAGCCAAATACAGGACCATTTTGGAAGGAAACCTGATGGAGTCTGCAAAAGACCTGAGACTGGGACGGAGATTTGTCTTCCAACAAGACAATGATCCAAAACATAAAGCAAAATCTACAATGGAATGGTTCACAAATAAACATATCCAGGTGTTAGAATGGCCAAGTCAAAGTCCAGACCTGAATCCAATTGAGAATCTGTGGAAAGAACTGAAAACTGCTGTTCACAAACGCTCTCTATCCAACCTCACTGAGCTCGAGCTGTTTTGCAAGGAGGAATGGGCAAAAATTTCCGTCTCTCGATGTGCAAAACTGATAGAGACATACCCCAAGTGACTTACAGCTGTAATCGCAGCAAAAGGTGGCGCTACAAAGTATTAACTTAAGGGGGCTGAATAATTTTGCACGCCCAATTTTTCAGTTTTTTATTTGTTAAAAAAGTTTGAAATATCCAATAAATTTCGTTCCACTTCATGATTGTGTCCCACTTGTTGTTGATTCTTCACAAAAAAATTACAGTTTTATATCTTTATGTTTGAAGCCTGAAATGTGGCAAAAGGTCGCAAAGTTCAAGGGGGCCGAATACTTTCGCAAGGCACTGTATCTTTGCCTTGTTATCAGAACATTTCATATAGATTTCCACCTGTTTGGGTCAGAGATGTTTCAGTATTGAGGCTGTAATTAACAGTATGCCGAGCTGTGGAGCCCAACAGGTGCCAAAAAAATGATGTGGCAAACTGGTGTTTAGTTTATGGAGGGTCATGACAGATATTATGTAATAGGATGGATTTCTGGCATAAATTCTGCTCAGCTGTCCTGCTGTTTGAGCAGATCTGCTGTCCAATTTTCCATGTGGTTGTCAAAATATTCATCCTAAACATTAGTGACCCAACATAATACATAAATAAATTGGAAGGGACACTGTGATATACAAAAGGGGATTCTCTCTTTAATGTTTCGCTAAGAAACTGGTCATTTCTGCCACCCAAGTCCCAGAACAGTCACTCTGTTGGATGGACAGACACCATTGTTAGGATGAGCTTTTTCATTTAATTGGAAATATGTAGTTAAATCTAAATAATTTTTACTGGTGTGAGTGATCACTTAGTCTGCTGTAAGGGGTGGTTGTCAAGCAGTCTGTTCAAGATAGTAAAAATTGTATTTCTGTCAATTCAACAGCACAGTTATAAGGCGCTTCCTTCCTTTGATAGATGGCAGTCTGCAGAGTAAAGGGGCTTTTGGTGTTAATTGGTTGTATGAACTGCTGGATTCATACAGTAGAGACAACAACAGTCAAACGGATGGTTGTTTTCTCTTCTCATGGCAAAGTCTGGTGGATTAAATCCACTGAGATGCTTAACCATAAAATAACTAATAATTTTAGGAGTTATTAAATTCTAAAATTTTCCCTATCCTCTCAAATGTATCATGCAGGTCTTCTCAGCATATGTTGGTGGATAGTATGAGAAAAGATAAAATAATGCATGTGGTTTAAAATAGCCTTCTGAGACCCATAGCTGACGCGTCTTCTGAAAGTGAATATCATTACCGCTGTAAGCTTTTTTGGATAAAGCTAGATTTTGTGTAGTGTATGTAAAGGAATAGTGCACAGCGGTGCAGAACAAGACAAAGGTTAGGGTATTGCACTACCCCTCAGGGCATGTTGCACCTTTTCAGTTTACCTTAAGCCAGATATATCAACCACAATTTATTACTTTTAATTTTATATACGTTTATTTAAGCAAAGTGTTCAAGAGATCACCAGTATCTAATATGTGGGGTGTTTCTGTTCATTTACTAAAAGATCTCTTCTGAAAATGTTTTTTCATAGTGAGGCAGAGAAGACTCCAGTCCAAAAGCTGAACATCCAGCTCCAGAGGAGAGCATCCCACTTCGCCTGTCTCGAGGAAACGGATGTTTAAAACGTAAAGATGGAGATGAATGTAAAGGATGGACCCTGATGGAG